TGCCTGCCCTGCCTGCTGCAAACCATGGAGTCATTCTTGCAAATAAAATAAATATACTCACAGAATATTTTGTACAAATCCTATGAGTGGTGTTAAAGAAATCTGGTTTTGGAAGTAAATAAATTGGTTTTAAAAATTATGATGGAGGTTGCAACATCATTTTTGTGTGTATGGTAAAATACACTAATGTAAAATTGATCTTTTTTTTTTGAGACAGAGTCTCGCTTTGTTGACCAGGCTAGAGTGAGTGCCGTGGCATTGGCCTAACTCAGCAACCTCAAACTCCTGGGCTCAAGCAATCCTGGCTGCCTAGCCCCCGAGTAGCTGGACTACAGGCATGTGCCACCATGCCCGCTTATTTTTTCTATATATATTACTTGGCCAATTAATTTCTTTCTATTTATAGTAGAGATGGGGTCTTGCTCTTGCTCAGGCTGGTTTCGAACTCCTGACCTCGAGCAATCCGCCTGCCTCGGCCTCCCAGAGTGCTAGGATTACAGGTGTGAGCCACTGCGCCTGGCCTAAAACTGACCATTTAACCATTTTTAAGTGTACAATTTAGTGACATTAGGTACATTCATAATGTTGTGTAACCATCACTACTATTTCCAGAACTTTTTCATTGTTTCAAATAGAAGCTGTATGCCCATGTTTTTTTTGTTTTGTTTTTTTTTTTTCAGATAGAGTGTCACTCTGTTGCCCAGGCTAGGGCGCAGTGGTGTCAGCCTACCTCACAGCAACCTCAAACTCCTAGGCTCAAGTGATCCTTCTGCCTCAGCCTTCCAAGTAGCTGAGACCACAGGCATGCACCACTATTCCCAGCTAATTTTTTCTATTTTTGGTAGAGACAGGGTCACGCTCTTGCTCAGGCTGGTCTCGAATTCCTGAGCTCAAACAATCTTCCCTCCTCAGCCACCCAGAGTGCTAGGATTACAGGCGGGAGCCACCATGCCCGGCTGTATATTGTCATCTTAATGGTGTTTTGCCACATATTCTTTCTTATTTCTTTTTTAAAATTTTTTTTATTTGTTTATTTATTTTTAGAGACAGGGTCTCGCTATGTGGCCCAGGCTGGCCTCCAACTCCTGGGCTTAAACGATCTTGCCACCTTAGCCTCCAGAGGTAGCTGGGACTAGAGGCAAGGGCCACCATGCCTAGCTTGCTTGCTTTATTTAGGTTTTCACCCCTTGTTCTTTGAAAGTTATACATTCTTTTGGAAGTTACCTTTACATTTTCAACACAAGTATTTGTCCTAAAGTCTATTTTTCTTTACCTGTATGCTTCTCTATTTTTTTTTTTTTTTTTTTTTCCAGACCAAAGCTCTGTTGTTCTGGCTAGAGTGGTTTAGGGCAATTTTAATTGCCTGAAAAATGTAAATGATTATTTAATTTATTATTGAATCTGAAGGACCATGCCAAATAATGCTTAATCTGATCTTTTTTTTTTTTTTTTTTTTTTTTATT